AGAGAGAGAGAGAGAGAGAGAGAGAGAGAGAGAGAGAGAGAGAGAGAGAGAGAGAGAGAGAGAGAGAGAGAGAGAGCACCCGTATGTTCTATTTGAATAGAACACCCGCGTGTTTGAATAGAACATATGTATGTACTATTCGAATAGAACATACGTGCGTACTAATTGAACGTGCGTTCTATTTGAATTTCGGGGGGTGACTTTGAGAAATTGACTTTTCCAGGGAAAGTTGAATAGTACATACATGCGTTTTGTTCGGGGGAAGACTGTAGCTCCCACCAAAGGGAAGTTACCAAGGAAAGTTATGACCAAGTGGAAGTTAATTTGTTATAAGAAAAGTTTGACCACTGTCTCCAAACTTTGTCGATCCTGCCTTCACACCAACCCTTGAGGTGGCGAACCTCGGCCATTGGCAGCAAGAGCCCTGCGGTCTGTTTCCAAATGGGCTCTCGCTTTCCAGATTGTCTATGGCAGAGGTCAGTGGCCTCAGCTCTCTTTGTGGCTGGCCCGCGGCTTCTCTGGGCCAGGTTGTCCAGCGGCATGCTTGTATATGGGCGTAATCGAAGCAGGTCATTGGAGGTTTAAGTGGGAATTCCACATGCAGCAGTGGTAGCTTCAGTTGTCTGTTGTCTCTCTTCTCTCACCTGATGGTTGGGGGAAATAAAGAGGCTGATGACGCACCGTGCATTACTGGCAGGTGGTTCATTAATGACGCTATCATTGACAAGTGGAGTGATGGTGTTCGTCTGAAGTCAATGGCTCGTTCCCTTCCTGCTAGAGGAAGTTGGTGGTGGATAGCATTGCTGCTTTAAAATCCGAAGCGTGCTCCGTGGTGCCATGCCGGTTTCTCTTCTTTGGATTCTTAATGTATTATAATACTATTATATTTTTTATAGCTCTCTGTGATTCTCAGCAGCAAACAGAAACAGATTTGGCTCGTGATGTTGTGGCGGTGTCCACAAGGAGGGTAGCCGCGGACAAGTCCCGGCCTTGTAATGAAGACCCTTAACTAATTGAGCTTAATTGCACCATCTCGCTTTTGCGTGTGCTTGTTCTTTCCACCCACTATCACTTCCCCTTCGTTTCCCAGCCAAACTGTACTTCCTGAAGTGTTGCTCAGAGGGACGACTGCAGCCTTGCAGACAGATCCGCCAGCGGGGACAGGGTGTGCTGGTGCCAGTGGGGGGATTCTTACTGGGCCTTCAGCTGGGGTTCCGTGTTTGAGTACGGTGGGAGCAGGGCCGCGTGTGTCGAAGGTTGTTTCTCCTGCAACAGTGTCAAGCACTGCCATGCAAAGAGTGGGAGGGACAGGGGTTGCTGACGGAAATTCTTCAGAAACAGAGGGGTGCCGGATGCCTGGAAATGAGTGGGTGTACTGTGCCGTGACTGATGCGCCCATCACATGTTCGCCAACTGGAAATCCCCCTGACATAGTTGCCTCGTAAGTTACAAGCTCATGGAACAGCCTACTTTGTTTATCATTCATATGGTCGTGTCATCCATGTATGTGCTTCTGCTTGAACATGAGAGGGGGGGGGGGGGGGGGGAGTAAAGGAGAGAAGTATAGCTAAGCCGACAGCTGGTAGGCGGGCATAGAGGAAAATGGGTCCTGGAGGGAGAGGGAAGGCTGGCTGGAGGGCCGTGCAGTGGGTGGTGGTGTCGCAAAGGAAGGGTGTGCGGTTTGAATGGTGGTGCTCAGAGGGGAAGTGCTGCGGTCAGGGTGTGCGGGATGGGGTTGGGGTTGAAGGGCAAGCAGGCAGTGAAAATGGAGGGAGGTGAAAGGCATGTGTGAAGTTTGGAAGGCTGTTGTCGTTTTGCAGTATGTTGTAGGTGAAAGGCATGTGTGAAGTTTGGAAGGCTGTTGTCGTTTTGCAGTATGTTGTAGGTGAAAGGCATGTGTGAAGTTTGTAGAGGGGGGGAGGGGGGAGTAAAGGAGAGAAGTATAGCTAAGCTGACAGCTGGTAGGCGGGCATAGAGGAAAATGGGTCCTGGAGGGAGAGGGAAGGCT